GACAAATGCATCCTCGTGGGGGAGGAAGGCTTGTCAACGGCCTGTGACATGGCAGATGACACAGCCTTGCTCCCTGAAAGTGAGGAGGACTTGAAGCACATGCTGATGAAGATCAAGTCTCACAGCCCTCAGTACGGACTACATGTCAATGTCAAGAAGCCCCAAACCCTCATAACTGGACCAAGAGGTAACATCACGATAAACAGAGAAAAGATGGAAGTGGTCAAGAATTAAAACAACAAAAAAATGCATCCCCCTTGGATCCACAATCAATGCTCATGAAAGCAGCAGTCAAGAGACCAAAGGAAATAATAATAACAATATACAATTGTTATTATCAAGCGTTTTCAAGGGTGGGAAGGCAGGGGAGGGAGGGGGAGAAGAGCAGCTTATACCAAGGGCTCAAATAGAAAATATTTTGGAAATGATGGCAACATATGTACAAATATGCTCGATACAATTGATGTATGGAATGTACAATTGATGTATGGAATGTTATGAGTCTCCAATAAAATGCTTAATAATAATAAAAATAAACAAGAGCTCAAAGGACACATTGCATTGGGTCAATCTACTGCATAAGACGTCTTTAAAGTGTTGAACAACAAGGATGTTACTTGGAGGACTCAGGTGTGCCGGACTCAATCCAGATCAGCTGCCTCATAGGCAAGGGAAAGTTGGACACTGACTAAGGAAGGCTGAAGAAGTGACGCGTTTAAGTGATGGTGCTGGCAAGAATATTGAAAGTACCTTGGACCGTCAAAAGAACAAACAGCTGTCTTGGAAGTACAGCCAGATTTCATCTCATGGCCTACGGACATGCTGTCAGGAGAGGTCAGTCCCTGGAGGAGGACATTGTACTCGGCAGAGTCGAAGGCAGGAAACAGGATGATCCTTGAAGAGATGACAGACACAGTGGCTGCCCCAAGGGGCCCAACTATAAAAAGAGGGTCAGAATGCCGCAGAAGCAGCAGTCTTTTGCTGGAAGCTGTTGTACAGAGCCGCTATGAGTCTGAACCCACTGGACAGCACTTCACAATAACAGCTCTGCCTCAAACATGGGCCCAGCGTTTCCCGACTTTGGACTTCAGCTTGTGCTCTGAGAACCAGTTCCCCTATCTGCTTGAGATTATGATTATCAGGCTAATGATCTGATAATACGAGGATTTCATACCTGATGCAGCATAAATGCTTATATAAAAGTCAGTCAGTGAGGAGGAAAGCAGCCGTCAAGAAGTCGAGACAGGTGGGCAAATCTGCTGCCCATGATCTCTTTAAACTGATAAAAAGCAAAGCTGACACTTTGAAGGATTAAGGTGCGCATGACCCAAGCCACGGTATCCCCAATACCCTCACATGCGTGGAAGAACCGGACCATGAGTAAGGAAGACGGGAGGAGAATGGAAGTCTCTGCACAGCAGTGTTAAGAAGATGGAACGTGTCCTGAACTGCCAGAAGCACAAACCACTGTGTCTTAGAGGACAGTCAGACGCTGCTAAAAAGGGAAAGTGTAGGACGAACAGTCTGGAGGAGAAAACAACGGGACCGACAGTTCC